CCCGTTGTAACATCTAAGGCCCAAATATGGCCCAATTTTCCAAAATTGATCCAGTTCCTTTCATATGCCTTTACCTAAGAAGGCCCAACAAATCACAACAGCCCAACTATAAATTTTCAAATGGCCCAACACAACCAAGCCCAATTCACAAAAATACCCAAGTTTGTCGAGTATGTAGGGCGCACTCAACCAGTGCGCTCAACGTACATGATGGGAGGCTTGTATGAGCAGCATACATACTTGTACGTCCAGCGTACTCACCAACCATGACCTTCTTTCCAAATTTATCACTTAATCCATTAAGACTTGGATCCAAGCTTATATCTAACTTCTCCAATGCGGTTAATCACATAAAGTTGCCAACTTTATGTGCATGCATGTCTAAATGGGACTTTAGGGCTCAAAAGAGCTTTAACACTCGATTTAATACATGCATGGAACCAAAACCACCATAAAGGTTGCAGCTTTATACCTAGGGAACTCATGATATATCCAAATTTTCAATTTCAAGCTTCAAAAACGATTTTAACTCCCACTTCTTAACTAAAAGGGGTCAAAATGACCAAAAATGCACCAAGAAGAAGATCCATGAAATGAAAATACAAGGTTTGAACTTTATATCTGTAACGCCCGTGTTTTGGGGCTAAGCATTAATTAGATGATGTAATAGTCTAGTTCAACTATTGTAACTCTTTTTGAAATAATAAAGATGAATTATTTGAGTATTATGTGAATTAGGTGAAATTATGTGCTTTATACTTAATTATAAAGGTAAAATAAATAAAGGATAAAATAAGAGTCAAAATTAAAGTGTGAGATAAACCCAATATCTTTACATAAAGTTATAGTGATAGAAACAAGGATTCCGGATATATAAAGAACGCCGAAATCCGAGTTATAACGCAGAAGTTATGACCCGTTGAAATTTTACGGCAAAACCGACACGACACCGGGAAGCGTAAATAGTGAATTTACGATGAAAGACTTTTTTGCCTTAGTGATCTAAACAAAAGTTTTAGTATACGTTAAACCGAGAACATACAAAAAAAGAACGCCCAAATCTGACTTCGTATGATGAAGTTAAAAATTTTCTAAGATTTGGCTAGCAGTGCACAGCCCGAAACTCGAATTTTATTTCGAGCGGTTTTTGGCCTACGCGACCTAAATGAGAATTGAATATCTCATTAATAGGAACTCAACGGTAAAAAGACAGACTAAATCAGAGTTCGTATTTAGAAGTTATGAATTTTACACGAACATTTAACAGTATAATCTTCTCGTACTGTTAAATTTAAGATCGGTCGAGAATTAGCCAACGGAGTCAAAATGAAAGTTGTAGATCTTATTTCAACCTACACGTGGATATAAAGAACATAAAAAACGGAGCTTGTATGTGAAAGTTACGGATTTTAGAAGTCAAAAGTGTGATGTGCGAAAATGGGTGACGTGACACAATCTTGACCATTGCTTTCTCCCCAAGGCTTGCCACCAGATGGTGACATGTGGCACCAAGTTCAACCATATTTCACCCTATAAATACTACCTCTCCCACCCTCATTTTCTTTACAACTTTCCCATTCTTTCTTATCTTTACTCTCTCTCTCTCTATCTATCTCTCTAGAACCTCTCGTTAGCCCCATACCCCCCCCCCCGGAAAAGCCTAGGGAACCTCCCTAGCACGAGGCGGAATCCCCGGAGTGCTCGACAGCTCCGAGAAGAAGAAATTTTCGGCTTGGGAACGCTGCTCCAAGCAAATCCCGATTTTCTATAAAACTCGTTGTAAGTGAACTACGCCTACGCTAATTTTAATATAGCTTTTATTTAATTATAGTAACGTTATTAGGAACTTATAATAAGTACTTGGGCTATTATTATGTGTTATATAAGTATTGTTTAACACTTATATAACAGTAATGATAGCTAAACTATTAATTAGTCTCAGCGAATAATAGACTAAACTGTAGTGGTAATAATACTAGGTTTCATCAAATGAAATATTTTTTAAGAAACGAAGCGTTGTCTGAGTTCGGAATCACCACCTTTTCAGGTGAGTGCATAGTTACTTTCATCTTACACATAGATATGAAATATTATATATAAATTACATGCTAAGTATGCATATTATTTGAATACTTATTGTCTATGCTGGATGAACGATTTTATACATGTTTTAAATGATTTAAACTGTATAAGTATTTTATATCTACAAAAATGCTGGGGGTAAAACATGGGTAGATGTACTAAGACGATGTGTGATAAAATAATGAGAGGCCTCGATGTTGTTGTTGTTGATTCTGTCATCTAGCAGAGTATGGATGATGACCACGGACTTTTCTAGACAGTTCAGTGGAACGCTAATAGGCTCGTAACCTGTAGGTGTTTGTGAACGATGTGTTCACCGGTGTACTCCATCCCCCCTGGTTGCCTTTAGGACATTTATTGCTGAGAAACCCCCTTGGCAATAGTGTCCATCCTGATGTTAATCCTTAGTCTAGGTCTCTTATGATAGGGTAATCGGGTTATTGTTGGTTGATGAAATTAATAAACTTAATTATTGTGGGTTGAAAACCCTATGTGCTCGCCAGGCTCTCAAGTCTGACCCACTCGGTTTCATGTATTACAGGTAGTGGCGCTCGAGCATAGATGTGATGTTTTTGATGAGGGATTACGGATATAGGCCTTTAGATCTGAAATAATGTAGTAAGACTTATATTGTACTGTTTATGCTTTTGATCTGTATCGAACATGACATCCCGAGTCTTTTTAATGAAATACATTTCTACGGAAATGATTTGATAAATCTTTATCATATTTTTATTTTGGGAACAAATTTCACAACACTTTTATGTAAAATGTTACTCTGATTTTTAAACAAGCATAAACAAAATCGGTCTTTTCTGGCCGTGAAAAATAAGGATGTCACAATACCTCCCAAACTACTAAAAGGATATGAAAATGTTGGATCTCAAAGTTTTCCGTCAAAGAACAAGTCTTCAAGTTTCTCTTTCTTCTTCTAGATCCACAAAACACTCCACAAATTTCACAAGAGCTTCAAGATCACCAAACGTGGGCTAGGGGGGTGTCAAATTAGGGTTTTTAGAGCATGGAGGATGTCTTAAAAATGATCAAAAGGGACTATCATAAAGCTTATATAGGCACAACACAAAATTTAGGGTTTTCTATCTAACCCTCGTATGCCCAACGTATGAGGCCTCACACCCCCGTACCATCCTTCGCAGTACGCCCTGCATACGTCACTTTACGCCAAGCGTACTGACCTCCGCAGTAATATACCCCGCGTACTCCCTTTGTACGCCCCACATACTAGGGTTCCCTCTAAAACGCTAAATACTCTAAAGGCCATAACTTCCTCGATCTAAGTCCGTTTCTGACGAAATTTATATCTACGAAAAGGTGACTATAAGCCCTATGCTTCTAACAACTCATCATTGCCTTAAAACTTTCCGAAAAAGAACCCAAAATTCATAAAGGCCCAAACTAAAAAAGTACAATTATACCATTGGGCTCTAAAACACCATCGAACACTTGGATCACTTAAACTACAGTGCCCACACCTAAAAAGGGTCAAATCATTTCTTCCCCAAGGCCCTAAGCCTTATGATAACTGATGATCGGGCCACAACCCCAAATAAAGAAGTGATTCGAAACCAGATGTTACAGTTGATTTGGTGGATAAGAGTATGGGTTAGATTATTCAAAACCATGCGGGTTACAGAGCAAGTTTATATCGGATTTGAAATTTGTTAAAAGGGTTCAGATCAAGGTCGATTCGCTCCAAACCCGCCTCATTGTCAGGTCTATCGTTTATTTTAAAAACAACGTATATCCACGTAGCAAGTTTCAACAACTTTTGTGGGGACTAACAAGGGTAAGGATAAGATGCACTAGGCTAGACTTAAACTTTTGCAAGGATAATGCTTATCGAAAGACAGTATTTTGTTGAAATAAAGTAATGTTCGTGTTTTAGTCTAGTTTAACCTAATGTATTATGCTTTCAATAAAGCGTACTTTGGTATTTTACTAAAAGTTTTTAGATCCATGGGACAATGTTCACCTATTTAGTAGAATTTATATCTTTCGAGAATGAGGGTGTTACATATTATATCATATTTTAAATCCATATCGATATTAATGCTAATTATAATTATACTAAATTGTAAGGTTGTAAAAAACATTCGACATTAGCTAGTTGGTAAAATGGGGTTAAGGAATTAATCAGCTATGTGAGGATTAATAAGGGAATCAATCGGAGACCCTAAATTGCTAATTCTTTGATTTAAAATATATATATATATATATATATATATATATATATATATATATATATATATATATAACTAATATTATAAAAAAATATGTTAATATGATTAATACAAACTAATCATTACTTAAATAGTTTTTATTGAAATATAACTTCTTTAGACAGTTAAATTTTATTGTTTGCTACTGCCTTACTTATTCTGTAGGCATGGATTAATCGTTAGACGTCTTTTAATCGGTAGCGCCTAGAGAATAATCATATTCGGAGATTAATCGATACCTAGTCGGGATTTTTAGAACACTACTAAATTGTCAGTGACACTAAAATCACCATCATAACTCACACCAAATGTCAAAAATCATTGATTTAGCAACTTAAGACAACTAAACCACCAAAAACAACAAATTTTCAAATAATTTGAGTTAGAATATATTTACAAACTAAAATCAAAGATTGTGTTGATGCCAAAATGCAATTCTCATATCTCTCTCTCTCTCTCTCTCTCTCTCTCTCTCTCTCTCTCTCTCAAACTTCATAAATATTTGCTATATAATGAACAAAGTGAGATTAACTTCCTTTTACATCTCCCACTACAAGGCCATTTCCTGGCGATTCAAGGTTTATGATCTTTCTAATAGTTGGTGATATCCATCCCAAAAAACTTAATTATTACAGAATATAATGCTTGTTTTTTCCCTTTACGGAAAGGATTGTTTGTTTACCACCAAAAAAAAAAAAAAACAAATACAAGTAATTAAATAATTATTGCAACATCAACAACCCCTCCAAAACTCAAGATTCACAATAAATTCCATCTACAGCCCCTACCACAAAGATCACAAGAACAAACTCTTTTCAAATCTTTATTTTACACCAAGAAACTCAAATACAATACCAACATATTCTCCATTAAAGCCTAATAATTTTATCCCATCTCAAAATGTGTATGTTTCCCCTCTCTTCTTCGGTTACCATCGACCAATTGTTCATCAAACTAGCTGCAAGAAAACACTACTAATGCCATGGCATTCACTTAAGCTACAAGCCTTGCATTTAGCCATTGGCACACCTCTTCCATTTCTTTAGGGACAGTGTAATGTCCAAGCCTACAAATCAAACCAAATCATGTCAATAAACTAGTAAGATGTTGTTTTCTCTTAATGGGCTTGTTAGGACAAGATTTAATTCGGTAAAGCTTATATATGAGTGCTTATGTTAAGAAAGACTTAATAGAGAAAGTCATTCTTTTCAATGTTGTAAGGCAAATGGGGTTATTTTATTTAATACCCTTCATATGTTTTGAATGCAACATATCTAAATCCAGCTGAACTCAAGATCTGAGAAGACCTCTCTCCGAATTTGTATGGAACAACCTCATCACCTGCAAACAAACAATATGATTTAGTTAGTTTAATAGCGTCTTTTTATAGTTATTTCTCATTAAATGATATATTATGTAATTATGCATAGTGTACAAATCTTGTTTAATAAACTTACCACGTCCATGACATAGCAAAATGGGCAATGAAGCAGCACGTCTAGCACCATCATGTGATCCTTCAATCATGCTTCTCAAACTCCTGAAAAAATCTCAATTAAATCTTAATGTTAAATGTCCAGATAAAGAAACAAATATGTTTGATTATTAGTCAAACATTCAAGATAAACCTCAATCTCGACAAAAGGGAAAATCTTGTGGAACAAATCAATATCATCAGTATCTTGTAACTGATAATCATAAACTTTGGAATTTTTATAAAAAGGGAAATGTTTGAAGGAGAATTTGGTAAAATCATACCTTCCACCAGGAAGCCAGCCACTCAATCCTACAATAGCCTTTAAGTTAACTGGATAAGGGCTGCCATTTCCATATTTACCCTGGGCGAAACAAGTTGCAGAGTAAAGTGCACATGCAGCACCCATACTAAATCCTCCAATACCAAGTTTAACTGTTAAAAAGATAACAAAATTATGTTTACAATAAAGTTAAGCTAGAAATTGACCTATCAAACAATATACTACAAGGAGATACTAAGATCAATAACAGAAGGTAAAATTATATAAAAACTAAAAAGCATTGTTTTTTGGGCAACTTTGCGGTTTAACCACTTAAACTTAATGTTTTCCAATAGTTTCAGCCATTTTGACTTGGTCAAATGGTTAATCTGGAAAATTATCACAGGTGAAACCTGATATAACATGTCAAAATGGTTGGTTAATTTGGAATAATATCTGAAACTTTTATAGTTTGATTGGAAAAGGAAAACATCACGGTGTTTTTGTAATTTGCCCATAATAGAACTATATTTGCATAAAGATTGAATAAAATACAACAAAAATGAAACGAAACGAAAAGGGTATTCACAATATATGTAATCAATATCAGGGAAACAAAAAAGTTAGAAACTTTATACCATCAGTGGGCTCCGTTGATAACAAGTTTGCTATGTGTGATACTGAAGCATCTAAACCTTCAACATCATTTGGACCATCTTCTGAGAGCTCTCCCTCATCAAACCCTGTTATGGAACAAAAATTATCATTAAAATAATATTTTTAAATTAGATTATTTATGGTTTAATCTTTAAATCTTGATATCTTACATGCAGTGCAAGGAAATCCACCAAGAACAGTCACAGGGCGAGTAGGAGCAGTTGGGCATATCCACTTAATCTGCAAATATTAATATTTTACATTATAATTTTAAAGTTTTTAAGGGAAAGTGGTGTTAATTGAGTGCATATGCTTACATTTGGAAGAGGAAGGTTATCCAAGAGTTGAGACCAACTGCAATGAGAAACATGAAACTAGATGAGAAAGTATGCTTCTTAAGTGGGATTTTGTTCTTTTTGACTTAATATAAAGTATAACCATATGAGCTTAATGGGTTAAGTGGGAAGCGGGTGTCTTTATCCATTAAGACCTCATTTTTACACTACTGCCCTTTAAGCAAACTCTTTTTTTTTGTTCTAGTGTTATTATTTAACATCACTTCTAGACAAAAGGGTAAAATGGTCATTTTAATTAATGCAGAAAAAACAACTTAATAGATTTTCCCTCATTTGTGTTATCCTTTCATTTCTTTTAAAGATCATTTATCGATACAAAACTTAATGAGGTTAAAAAAAGAAACAAGGCCTTAATCATAGTATGTTAACAATAGTCCTTTCAAATGTATCTAAACTTAACAAGTCTCATGCACTCTTAGGAAAGTTATTTAACATTGCTAAAATGTCTTAAAGATCAAACTTTTTAGCTAGTGGCCCTTGTCCCTATTTAAGCATATATCATGATTCATAAATCTTTATAATAAACTACTTTTTGTTATTCAAATAAAATAAAATTCCCCTTTTACCTTTTTGTGAATTGGATTGAATCAAGATAGCACAATCAAGTATCAAAAACAAAAGAGATTTATATTTAAATCATTTCACATCACAAAATAGTAATACTTTACGTCTCTCAGTTATAGAAGTTAATTTAAAGCATACACAAATACACGGCACTGCGGTTGTCCCCCATCATGTCAATCAGAATAAGAATCAATCGATGTTTTCATACCCTAATTCTCATTCTTGATATTTTTTATTGAAAAAAAAAGTATATTCTTTTCCGTCCATGGACAAGAGACTTCACACTGAAAGTGACATCAATAACTTGAAACTCGAAGGAAAACAACAAACAAGAACCCATGCATAGATGTTTAATCAAGAGTATTGAAATTTAGATTTTCCAAAGCTTATTATTATCTAGAAAAGTCTTGTAAAGAGTTTTTACCATTGAAGTGAAAAAGTTTTCCAAAGCTTTTAGCATAATAAGTTAGTAATCTTCACATGGTATTAAAAAGATTAAATATGAATACAAAAAGGTTAATATATATATATATATATATATATATATATATATATATATATATATATATATATATATATATATATATATATATATGAATAGCAAGAAATGATGATTATTATTTCTACCTTGAGCCATTATCACCAAGACCATGCAACCAAACAACCGTTGCTTGGTGCTTCCCTTTTGGCCTCACCACATAAGTCCTACCAAACTCAACGGTTCTCCTAGGTGTTCTACTACCTGAAAAAGTTGTACATTTTGGCACCAATTTACAAGATTAGAAACAACCATATAAAAAAAGGATTTTAAAGATTTAAAAGAGTTTGAAGTAACTAACCGGAACCAATGGAAGCATTTGTATAACTACTCATTTGTAAAGGAAATGCAAGAAGCAGTAGAAGGTGTTATGTGTTGAGGAGACACAGACACCCTTGGTGGTGTGGGCTTAATTTATAGGGAGCTTGGGTGGTTACAAAGAGAATAAAACATGTCAAGATTCAAATGTGCACCAGCTGCACATTGTGCCTAAAACCCAATAAGAAACAAGAGCATCCATGACATGAAGAGAGAGAAAGAGAATCAAATGAAGAAATTAAAACACATAGATAGAGCACAAAATCAAGAAACCCCACTTCATATCGAAATTTAAGGGCTCTAATTACCACATTCCGATAGAGAGAATCTATGCTTGGTGGTGCAGTGGACATAAAAAATTATAAAGCAGACTCCATATAAACCCTTGAAAAAAGAATATTACTGAAAAATGACAAGCGACATCCTATTTGGCTCTCTTTTCTCTTCTTCAATCATTTATTTATGCGATTCATGATGGTTTATGGGTACCCATTATCTTGAATGTGAATTCGAACTTTCTGACTTGTCATCATTGACATTTGTGACAATCTTTTAATCAAGAACCTGCAAATTTTGGTACCAATGTTCTGTTCGTCCCTTTATGATAATTTATGGATATTAACTGTGAATTCTAACTAACTAACTAACTAACTACCATCATTGTCGTTTGTTACGATCTTTAAATAACATGAACTTGCGAAAATTGGGTGTTTATTTAAAGTTTTAGCTAGAAAATATCTGACGGTAATCTGAATGGAGCACCAACCTGAAATCGTGGGTGGAGAAGAGGCATAATGATCACAGAAAGTATGTGGACTTTTGCGTGGCGAAATCTGAAATCTTTTTGCTGAATCTCTTTCTAAATCTGTAAATCGCTTTTGTTGCTTGCCACTATATCTATTATATAACGAAGGCAGCTCAGGTGTAGGTAAAGTCTTGAGGTTCATAATTGGTTTTTTTGTTTGTTTTTGTTAAAAATTAGGATTCCCTACCCCGAGCAATGGAGCTCAATGGCACCTGCTGCCATTTGCATTCAAATTTCAAATTCCGATTGATTTGACGGGGCCACAATCTAAACCATGCCTGTTTTCGGGTACATCCCCGTGCTCATAATTGGAACCTAGTAGCTGTCACCACCAAACCCTTCAACCTATGCCCACATGAACCCATAGTTTATGCCTACAAAAACCGAAGCTCTCACTATAATGGGAAATGACATTCTACCCCTATGAAATTTTAGAAGTTTGTCAAATCGGTTTTTTTTAATGGGAAATAAAGTTAGATGTTCATCTAAATGTCACTTAAGTCTTATTATGGAGTTTCACTTTTGGTCTTTTGGTTTAAGTGATCTATTTTATTTTATTTTTGATTTATCTTTTTTGCATTTAAGGGGTACGAAACGTAGTTTTACCGGCTAAAATGATCCATTGATTTGTTTTAAGTGGTTTCGAAGTCAAGTCATGGTCTAAGATAGTGTTTGTTTTTTTGTTTGCAGATGTTTTTGGCCTCTACTGTCTACGCGGTGCAGACCACGCGCAAACATTAACCTCCACAGACTGTTTGTTTTTTTGAAAATTGAAAACCTAAAAATGTCTGTGCGCCCTCTTTTTGGCGCAAATGTGGACCGAAGTCTTCTAACATCTTCAAACATCTTCTAACATATATATATATATATATATATATATATATATATATATATATATTAGTTTTTTTGAATTTATATTTATTCCAACTTTATTAGTGATAAACAATTTGAAAAAAAAATTACAATACTTAAAAAAAATTTGACGACACAAACATGATAATTTTGATAAATTTATAAATAAAAATTTATTACAATAATGGTCGTCGAAGTTGTTTATATAAATATGAAAAAAAATCATAATATATTCATATATTTTTTGTGTCAAATTTTATAAAACATTATTTAATACAGTATCGTCAATTTCTTAGAAAAATATTTATGGCACATTTTTAATTGATTTAATTAAAAAAATCGAGGTTTATTTCCATCCATTTATGTATCAAATTTTTTGATTCCTAATTATAATGTTTAGGTATAACTTTACGACAAAAAATGTTGGTTTTTATCAAATATATATATAGTAATTTGTACTATTTTTAGTTTCACTTTTATACAATAATAAATAAAAGTTGATATAGATTTGTTACTTATTTATAACAAGGTCATAAAAATATTTTAAAAAAAAATCATTTTGTAGTTTAAAAAAATCAATTTATTTAGATTTTAGTTTATTTTAGTAGCATGCAGATGTTAAAAAAACAAACAGTCTTATTTTTTCAAACTGTAGACGTTTGATTCACCTCTTCTGCTGCAGAGGTCTACAGATGTGGTCCGCAGACTACAAACATTTTGCTTCAGAAAAAACAAACAACACCTAAGTCATCTAAAGTGTTAACTCGGAGTCAACTTGCCATACACGTCACCGAGTTGAGTTGAATCATTTGCTTGGCCCCTAAGGGTTACTTAGGACCCAATGTTTATAAAAGGGATGATTTAATACATCAAATCCTAAAACTTTACACCTTTTTCGGCCAAACATTTACTGACAAGGAGACAACAAACGTTTTTACGAGATTCACGAGATGTCTACCCCACCATCCTCACCAGAATCGATTTCGATAAATTCTCGAGACATAATCAACTTCAGTGACTTACACATAATATTCTACGATTGTCAGGAGAAAATAGTCAAATAATAGGTGGAGGGAGATCGCATTAAGGAGGAAATGGAGCGTGATTTTGCGATATCAAGGGTCAATATGCTCTCTATGCAGCGCCGATTAGACCATAACAAGAAGAAGGTACATGCTCTGACTTTTTTGGTGGTACGAATTGTCACAACTCAAAATTTTAGACCCAGTGAAGCCTAAACCCTAACCGAACACAAGTGATACTACATTGCAATCCTTGTTGCATTGTATCATCTATAGCCTTAGGGCTTGTGAATAGAGCTAACAAAGAAGTATGGATTGAAACCTAAGCTAAATTAGAGTAGTATGAATGAACATAAGTTAAAAGACTAAGGGTTTAAACCATAAATAACCCTCATATACGTGTTTTCGCCAAATTTAATCAATTCAAATATGGTTTCGGATTTAGAATCAAAATCAAAGGGGTTTACGGATTAGAAATGACACCAAAAGGGTGTTTTTGGTTTGCCTAGATCCGAAAACACAACCCCAAGGCCCATTTAGGGCGAAAACCTAAAGGGTAGGACCGAAAACACATTTGAGGCCCATTAAAGATCCGAAAACTCCTTTCTCTTTGACTTTAGGAACGAAAACTCATTACTAGGAGCTATTAAATCCGAAAACCCCCTTTAATATATATTGTTTCATCCAAAAACACTCCTAAATATCTTACATATTATCCTAATTTGGCCTCCCAAAGTGATTTGATTCATTTACCAATGCAACCGTCTATCTTTCCTTCATACTTAAGATACTTCATAGAGGACATTTCCATTTCAAAGTTCCATTGAATGAAATCTCCATAAACTCTCTCAAATCTCAAACATCTTTTGCTCTCAACTCAAGTACTTCACAAGCATATTCCCAGCAGACTTTTGATAAATAATACTCCTTAGTATTTTGGGTAAGTTTTATTCATAAAACTTGTGTTAGGCAACACTTATATACTTGTATCATCTTAATCACACATTCTTATGTGTTTAAAACCATTAGGATTATGATATCCTTCCCGTAATCTAGTCGAAGGTCACCATTTCTTTCCCGTTATCACACTCGATGTGAGTTCATACTACTACACTTTTCAATAACCTTTTCCATGTTTTTAAGGAGGAATACAAGTAAAACACAAGAAACTTGTGTTAATATACAAATCTTCGTTTTATGTTTTATTACGGTTAAGTATCTTTTACGTAGAAATACCAGAGAGCTTGATAATTATGTATAGATCTATACGGGATTGATGACCCCGCACCTTGGTTGTTAGCTACAACACGACTGGCAGGTTATGAGTGACAAATATCAAACATAACGACGCCTGAAGAATGTCGCGGCAGGCAAATCATTAGTTAGCACGGTTATGAGATCTCACATGATAAGCGACAATACGTTATTTTAAGTGAAATTAACAATACACTTATTTTTACGCGAAAACACAACTCTTCAAACGGTTTTATAAACAAATAAAACTACATTTCATTAAATTAAGTATGATAATTTACTTACACTTTTCGGTTTTGGTTCATATAAGACTACAGTTTAGTTTACAGTTCACAGTTCAATAACAGTTTACAGTTCACAGTTTAGTTTACAGTTTACAATTCAGCTTTACAGAAAGTATAGGATTTTTCAGGATAAACATAATAATTTTACAAGTAAACAGTTCACAGTTCAGTTTACAGTTCACAGTTCAGTTATAATTTACAGTTCAGTTTACAATTTACAATTCAATTTTATGGAAAATATAGGATTTTTCAAGATAAACATAATCATTTTACAAGCAAACAGTTCACAGTTCAGTTTACACTTTACAATTCAGTTTTATGGAAAATATAGGATTTTCTCGGATAAACATAATCATTTTACAAGCAAACAGTTCACGGTTCAATTTACAGTTCACCGTTCAGTTTTATAAAAAATATAGGATTTTCTGGATAAACTCACTTACATTTTTAAAGAACAAAGAACATATTTTTACATACCAAAGGCTTATAAAACTCACCAACTTAAATGTTGACACTTTTTCAAAATTACTTGTATTCTCTGGAAAATATTAGGCAGGCACACATACAGGGTCCGAGAAGATGGAGCATAGTATCTTCAAGTCTTTGTTTTGCTATTTACTTTTGGAATCAATCAAGTTGTGATTCAAATACAATGTAAACACTTTATTATTAATATAATGGTTGTTGTTGTTTTGATTACTATTATTCATTGTTATGATATTGTACATGACGTCCTCCGCCCCCGAACGTTTCTGTCGTTCCGGTTTGGGGGTGTGCCACGACTCGTGGTGGTGATGTTT